TGTCATTTTTTGTCACACAATGATGTATATCTATCATTGTCACACAATGGTGTATGTCTATCATTATCACACAATGGTGTATGTCTATCATTGTTTATCACACAATGGTGTGTGTCTGTCATTGCTTCTCACACAATGGTGTATGTCTATCATTGTTTGTCACACAATGGTGTATGTCTTTCATTGTTTGTCACACAATGGTGTGTGTCTGTCATTGTTTGTCACACAATGATGTATGTCTATCATTGTCACACAATAGTGTATGTCTGTCATTGTCACACAATGGTGTATGTCTATCATTGTTTGTCACACAATGGTTTGTGTTTATGATTGTCACACAATGGTGTTTGTCTATGATTATTTGTCACACAATGGTGTATGTCTATGATTGTTTGTCACACAATGATGTATGTCTGTAATTGCTTGTCACACAATGGTGTATGTCTATCATTGTCACACAATGGTGTATGTCTATCTTTGTTTGTCACACAATGGTGTTTGTGTATCATTGTTTATCACACAATGGTGTATGTGTATCATTGTTTGTCACTCAATGGTGTTTGTGTATCATTGTTTGTCACTCAATGGTGTATGTCTATCATTATCACACAAGTATGTATGTCTATCATTGTTTGTCACACAATGGTGTTTGTGTATTATTGTTTATCACACAATGTTGTATGTGCATCATTGTTTGTCACACAATGGTGTATGTCTGTCATTGTCACACAATGATGTATGTCTATCATTGTCACACAATGGTGTATGTCTATCATTGTTTGTAACACAATGGTGTTTGTGTATCATTGTTTATCACACAATGGTGTATGTGTATCATTGTTTGTCACTCAATAGTGTATGTCTATCATTGTCACACAATGGTGTATGTCTATCATTGTCACACAATGGTGTATGTCTATCTTTGTTTGTCACACAATGGTGTTTGTGTATCATTGTTTATCCCACAATGGTGTACTTCTATCATTGTTTGTCCCTCAATGGTGTATGTCTATCATTGTCACACAATGGTGTATGTCTATTATTGTTTGTCACACAATGGTGTATGTCTATCATTGTTTGTCACACAATGGCGTATGTGTATCATTCTTTGTTTGTCTTTAACATCCTGGAAAATCACAAGTGTATTTAAGCAGGAATATAACACTGTTTGAAATCAATAGGTTAGATGTGTCTTTATTGTCACATGGTTTGGCATTTCACTTCATCAACTTGTTTCAGGATTGTAATTTACCAATTGCTTCTATTTACCTACTGGCAGAGATGCAATCAATATGACTTGGCATCAGTGTTTCTACACCTTCTTCTTCATCACAGCTGACAGGATCATGATGCTGTAACGGCTGCTTTGTTACAGCTTCCACCTGTTCCTGATATTATCACATCCTATATATACACTGGCGTCAAGTAGGTGACATTCCTGATAATATCACACCCTATATATACACTGGCATCAAGTAGGTGACATTCCTGATAATATCACACCCTATATATACACTGGCGTCAAGTAGGTGACATTCCTGATAATATCACACCCTATATATACACTGGCGTCATGTAGGTGACATTCCTGATAATATCACATCCTATATATACACTGGCGTCATGTAGGTGACATTCCTGATAATATCACAACCTATGGCGTCAAGTAGGTGACATTTCTGATAATATCACACCTTATATATACACTGGCGTCAAGTAGGTGACATTCTAATAATATCACATCCTATATATACAAAGGCATCAAGTAGGTGACATTCCTGATGATAATATCACAGAGGAGATATATATACATGTGTATAGAGTCAAGTAGGTGACATTCCTGATAATATCACACCCTATATATACACTGGCGATCAAGTAGGTGACATTCCTGATAATATCACACCCTATATATACACTGGCGTCAAGTAGGTGACATTCCTGACAATATCACATCCTATATATACACTGGCGTCAAGTAGGTGACATTCCTAGATAATATCACATCCTATATATAGGGAGAAGGCATCAAGAGGAGGGTGACATTCCTGATGATATCAGATCCTATATATACACTGGCGTCATATAGGTGACATTCCTGATAATATCACATCCTATATATACACTGGCGTCATGTAGGTGACATTCCTGATAATATCACAACCTATGGCGTCAAGTAGGTGACATTTCTGATAATATCACACCTTATATATACTCTGGCATCAAGTAGATGACATTCTTGGTGATATCACACTATTAAGGCTGACATATAGTAAATGACATTCCTGGTTATGTCACAAGCTAGAGAGGAGATATTTGTACTGTGTGTGATAGAGGAGATTTGTACTGTATGTGTGTGATAGAGAGGAGATATTTGTACAGTTGTGTGATAGAGAGGAGATATTTGTACTGAGAGTGTGTGATAGAGAGGAGATATGTGTACTGTATGTGTGAGAGAGGAGATATGTGTACTGTGTGTGTGATAGAGAGGAGAATATGTGTACTGTGTGTGTGTGAGAGAGAGGGAGATATATACTGTGTGTGTGTACTGTGTGTGTGATAGAGAGGAGGACTGTGTGTGTGATAGAGGAGATATATGTGTACTGTGTGTGTGATAGAGAGGAGATATTTGTACTGTACTGTGTGTGTGATAGAGAGGAGATATTTGTACTGTGTGTGTGTGATAGAGAGGAGATATGTGTACTGTGTGTGTGTGATAGAGAGGAGATACTGTACTGTGTGTGATGAGATAGATAGAGGAGAGATATTGTACTGTGTGTGTGATAGAGAGGAGATATTTGTACTGTGTGTGTGATAGAGAGGAGATATGTGTACTGTATGTGTGTGATAGAGAGGAGATATTTGTACTGTATGTGTGTGATAGAGAGGAGATATTTGTACTGTATGTGTGATAGAGAGTGTGAGAGAGGAGATATTTGTACTGTGTGTGTGAGAGGAGATATGATAGAGTGGAGAGAGGAGATATGTACTGTGTGTGTGATAGAGAGGAGATATATGTACTGTGTGTGTGTGTGTAGAGAGGAGGAGATATGTGTACTGTGTGTGTGATAGAGAGGAGATATGTGTGTACTGTGTGTGTGATAGAGAGGAGATATGTACTATGTGACTGTATGTGATGAGAGGACTGTGATGTGAGTGTACTGTGTGTGTGATAGAGAGGAGATATGTGTACTGTATGTGTGCTAGAGAGGAGATGTAATGTGTGTGATAGAGAGGAGATATATGTACTGTATGTGTGATAGAGAGGAGATATGTGTACTGTGTGATGTGAGAGAGAGGAGATATGAGAAGATGTGTGTGATAGAGAGAGGAGATATTGTACTGTGTGTGTGATGATATGTGTACTGATAGAGAGTACTGTATGTGTGATAGAAATACAGTTATATGTACTGTGTGTGTGATAGAGAGGAGATGTGTGATAGAGAGGAGATATGTGTACTGTGTGTGTAGATAGAGAGGAGATATGTGTACTGTGTGATGAGAGAGGAGATATATGTACTGTGTGTGTGTGATAGAGAGGAGATATGTGTGATACTGTGTACTGTGTGTGTGATAGAGGAGATATGTGTACTGTATGTGATGTTGTGATAGAGAGAGAGATATATGTACTGTGTGTGTGATAGAGAGGAGATATATGTACTGTACTGTACTGTGTGTGTGATAGAGAGGAGATATGTGTACTGTGTGTGTGATAGAGAGGAGATATGTGTACTGTGTGTGTGATAGAGAGGAGATATGTGTACTGTGTGTGTGATAGAGAGGAGATATTTGTACTGTGTGTGTGATAGAGAGGAGATATTTATGTGAGAGAGGAGATATGTGTACTGTGTGTGATAGAGAGGAGATATGTGTACTGTGTGTGTGATAGAGAGGAGATATTTGTACTGTGTGTGTGATAGAGAGGAGATATGTGTACTGTGTGTGTGATAGAGAGGAGATATGTGTACTGTGTGTGTGATGGAGAGGAGATGTGACTGTGTGTGTGATGTGACTACTGTGTGTGTGTGATAGAGAGGAGATATGTGTACTGTATGTGTGATAGAGAGGTAGATAGGAGATATATATGTACTGTGTGTGAGATAGAGAGAGAGAGATATGTGTACTGTATGTGATTATTGATAGAGAGGAGAGATATATGTGTACTGTGTGTGTGATAGAGAGAGATATAGAAAGGAGATATATGTACTGTGTGTGTGTAGAGTGATGTGTACTGTATGTGTGATAGAGAGGATATGTTGTACTGATATGTGTGATAGAGAGGAGATATATGTACTATATGTGTGACTATATGTGTAGAGAGGAGATATATGTACTGTGTGTGATGTACTGTACTGTGTGTGTGATAGAGAGGAGATATGTGTACTGTGTGTGTGATAGAGAGGAGATATGTGTACTGTATGTGTGATAGAGAGGAGATATGTGTACTGTATGTGTGATAGAGAGGAGATATGTGTACTGTGTGTGTGATAGAGAGGAGATATGTGTACTGTATGTGTGTGTGATAGAGAGGAGATATGTGTACTGTATGTGTGATAGAGAGGAGATATGTGTACTGTATGTGTGATAGAGAGGAGATACTGTGTGTGTGATGTACTGTGTGTGTGTGATAGAGAGGAGATATATTTGTACTGTATGTGTGATAGAGAGGAGGAGTATATGTGTACTGTGTGTGTGTGTGAGAGAGGAGATATGTACTGTATATGTAGAGACTAGAAATGTGTGTGTGAGAGAGGAGATATGTGTACTGTGTTGTGTGTGATAGAGGAGGAGATATGTGTACTGTGTGTGTGTGTGATGTGTGTGAGAGAGGAGATATATGTACTGTGTGTGTGTGATAGAGAGGAGATATATGTACTGTATGTGTGTGTGTACTGTGTTTGTGATAGAGAGGAGATATATGATATGTGTACTGTATGTGTGATAGAGAGGAGATATATGTACTGTGTGTGTGATAGAGAGGAGAAGATACATGTACTTACTGTCAGGGAGTATTCATCAGCGGCTGGCTTCTCTCTGTCAAGCTCACATCAACACACAAGGCCTAGGTCATGCCTCACACTCAACAATGTCACCAGTGCAGGTCTACCTCATGTTAGACCGTGTTGATAAACACCCGCACAGCTTCTCCCACTAGTAGAGGTTCATTTTGATCAGTTTTTCTCCAGCCGGTGTAATTTGTAGTGTGAGCTATCATTGGCTGGTGAGTCTCTGAAAGGGGCGTCCCTATAACGAGTCAGCGTGGTGGCGGTCTGCTGTCGGCATGCACAACGCTAGTATGGATACTACTGGAGGGTGTACTGGAGAGTTTCAGTAGGAGCATTGTCCAGTTGGCTCATCACCTACAGCTATATAATCCAGCAGCCTGCCTGCCCCAGTGATTGTGCCTGTCAGCGGGTAGCACCTCGCTTCACTGACTGTGTCACTGAGGACCTACCCAGCACCTATTGCTGTGACACTCTGGTGGCACAAACACTCACTTAATCTTATCAGACTCAACTCTTAGGACTGATTACCAATCATTGTTAAGAGCAAGTATCCCCTGTTTTGGAACAGAGGGGCTGTGTGATCTCAGCCCGTCAGGTCCTGGAGTGTACTGTCACAGGTTACAAGTGTTGTTCCATTCCAGAGGCAAACACGGATCCGGACGGACAGACCCCCGTGCGGACACACCAGGCTCTCCGCAGGGTTGCTCCCCCTCGGTTCCAGGTAAGTGTTACTTTGTGTCACCTCTTGTAGGCAGCCTACATCCAGTATATACACAGGTATGTTTATCTTCAGACGTATTGGTATTATTGATAAACCACACTATCGTTTTATCAATATGCCGACAGATATAGTTTGACCCGCCCACATATGTCCCCTGGATACAGCTTAAGAATATTGGCTTTTGGATGTGTTATTTCAGCATGCCTAATGTGTCCAGCGATTACCACACAGAGTCTCTGCACAACGCCTGTATACATAATAGGGGGAAATCAACATTGCTACAGTCATTTGTGTAGGAAATCTGAAAGTAGATTGTTGAGAAGCAGTGGTGAAGACACATAACAGGTGCTGTTATAATAACAGAATACTGAAACTGTCATATCACTTGTGGGCTGCCATAACAGAACATGTGTTCTCTAGCAGACAATTGTCCTGCCACCGCTGTAGTCCATGGGAGACAACACAGGCAGGAGAAAGGTGATTAATTCAATTACCAGTCCGGAAGATATTTACGTACAGATTATCATTTCTACAGATCATTTGATGAGTCATATCATCCATGTTATTTTTTTGTACCTAATAATATATTCAATTGGATAATTTTAGGTTTAATTTGGGATAATGAATTACACTTTGACAAATATTTTGCTGAAATTATGCAGATCGTTGGCATTTCTAAGTGGAACATTACTGTCAATGTCTCTAATTATCTCATCAGGGATAATTGTACTCATTTTGTTGTTCCTTCGGAATAACTTCCAGGAGAATCTAAGCTTTAAGTACTGTGTTATTAAATGTTATTATGTGGGTATCCCATGACATTTGTGGAAGTGGCACAGTATTGCTGTGGATAATTCCCACTCACTCACTCATTCACACTACTCTCTGCTGAGTGGTGCCAACTCTCACCAAGCATGCAAGGTATTGACAAACAGAAATACCTGACAGAAGAACCCTGTCATGGTCATTCCGGTCCACCAGCTGTTCCTGATGTTGGAGGCAGCTGGGAACACTGTGGGTAGACACTGTAGGGGACACTGTAGGGGAACACTGTGGGGGGAACACTGTAGGGGAACACTGTAGGGGAACACTGTGGGGGAGACACTGTGGGGGACACTGGGGGAACACTGGGGGAACACTGTAGGGGGAACACTGTAGGGGAAGGGGAACACTGTAGGGGGAACACTGTGGGGGAACACTGTAGGGGAACACTGTGGGGAACACACTGTAGGGGGGAACACTGTGGGGAACACTGTAGGGGAACACTGTAGGGGAACACTGTGGGGGAACACTGTAGGGGAACACTGTGGGGAACACTGTAGGGGGGGAACACTGTAAGGGGAACACTGTAACACTGTAGGGGAACACTGTGAGGGAACACTGTAGGGGGAACACTGTGGGGGGACACTGTAGGGGAACACTGTGGGGGGAGACTGTATCTCACATACCTCGGCTCCAATATGAAAACACTGGAATTAGTTTTGTGTCAGAGATTAAAAAAACCTTAAAGTTTACATTGTTGATAACTCTTTGGTATCCCCCAAAGAATTTGTGTGGCTTGTATTTCAGTTTGTACCGCCTGAAGATGCTAGGATAGTTTAAGCTGATACACTGTCGTATATGTATAGCTTGTAACTATATTCCAAGACTCTGCCTCAGTAAACCCACTTCTCACATCTTTCTAATGCACCTCTGTAGTTAACTGCAACTACTTTGGTGTATTTTGTGTTCAAACTTAAATAAGATCTTGCATACGTGTTCAAGCACATTTTTTCTGGTTTTGAAATCCAGCTATTGTTCTTTAAGGCAGCAGTTCAACAGTATCCGTATCTGGGCACCGCATGCAGCCTTTACAAGGTTACATGGTGTTTCTTTAGCCAGTTTCTTATTAAAGAATGCAGCTAAGAACGGACTAACACTTACTTTGCATTCAAAATCCTGCTTTTACTTTTTCACATGTACTCATAAAAAGTTTCAGAATGTAGTTTCCAGAAGGCAAACAAGTAATGTCAGTAGTGCCAGAAAAGCCAACATGTAGTGCCAGTAAAGCCAACGAGTAGTACCAGTAAGCCAATGAGTAGTGCCAGTAAGCCAACGAGTAGTGCCAGTAAAGCAAACGAATAGTGCCAGTAGAGCCATTAGTGCCAGTAAAGCCAACCAGTAGTGCCAGTAAAGCCAAAGAGTAGTGTCAGTAAAGCCAGTAGTGCCAGTGTGCCATTTCCATAGACCTGGCTGGTAATCTGTATACACTAGCCTGGTCAAATGCATCATAAAATGGTTCTGACTGTTCATAACCCAATATGAACTTATTGTAACCAGATGGACTGTTGGTTGGATAAGAATAGTGTAGAATGCAGGACAGCAGTGGCAGTTGAGTGCGCTGCTTCACATTGTGGTTGCAGTAAGACCAGCACAGCAGAGTTGACAACGCCTTGTGCCCTGTGTATGTAATATCACCAGCATCTGAACTATGTTGAGAACATAATGTATAGTTTTACACTGCTGTTATTATTCCTCTCATGCTAAACGGTACTCATCCTTGATTGCTCAGAAATAGCCTCTTAAACCTAATCCTGATCTGTACCCTCAACCTAATCCTGATCTGTACCCTCAACCTAATCCTGATCTGTACCCTCAACCTAATCCTGATCTGTACCCTCAACCTAATCCTGATCTGTACCCCTCAACCTAATCCTGATCTGTACCCTCAACCTAATCCTGATCTGTACCCTCAACCTAATCCTGATCTGTACCCTCAACCTAATCCTGATCTGTACCCTCAACCTAATCCTGATCTGTACCCTCAACCTAATCCTGATCTGTACCCTCAACCTAATCCTGATCTGTACCCTCAACCTAATCCTGATCTGTACCCTCAACCTAATCCTGATCTGTACCCTCAACCTAATCCTGATCTGTACCCTCAACCTAATCCTGATCTGTACCCCCAACCTAATCCTGATCTGTACCCCCAACCTAATCATGGGCTACAAAAAGCTGCGTTTTAGTTCTGGTGTACAGATCTGTGGCCTGGAGTCTGGTGTACAGATCTGTGGTCTGGAGTCCGGTGTACAGATCAGTGGTCTGGAGTCCGGTGTACAGATCTGTGGCCTGGAGTCCTGTGAACAGATGTGTGGCCTGGAGTCTGGTGTACAGATCAGTGGCCTGGAGTCCGGTGTACAGATCTGTGGCCTGGAGTCTGGTGTACAGATCAGTGGCCTGGAGTCCAGTGTACAGATCTGTGGTCTGGAGTCCGGTGTACAGATCTGTGACCTGGAGTCCGGTGTACAGATCTGTGGTCTGGAGTCCAGTGTACAGATCTGTGGTGTGGAGTCTGAAGTACAAATAAGTGGCCTGGAGTCTGGTGTACAGATCTGTGGCCTGGAGTCTGGTGTAAAGATCAGTGGCCTGGAGTCTGGTGTACAGATCAGTGGCCTGGAGTCTGGTGTACAGATCTGTGGCCTGGAGTCTGGTGTACAGATCAGTGGCCTGGAGTCCGGTGTACAGATCTGTGGTCTGGAGTCTGGTGTACAGATCTGGAGTCCGGTGTACAGATCAGTGGTCTGGAGTCTGGTGTACAGATCTGTGGTCTGGAGTCTGGTGTACAGATCTGTGGTCTGGAGTCCAGTGTACAGATCTGGAGTCTGGTGTACAGATCTGGAGTCCGTGTACAGATCAGTGGCTGGAGTCTGGTGTACAGATCAGTGGTCTGGAGTCTGGTGTACAGATCAGTGGTCTGGAGTCTGGTGTACAGATCTGTGGTCTGGAGTCCAGTGTACAGATCTGTGGTCTGGAGTCTGGTGTACAGATCTGTGGTCTGGAGTCTGGTGTACAGATCTGTGGTCTAGAGTCTGGTGTACAGATCAGTGGTCTGGAGTCTGGTGTACAGATCTGTGGTCTAGAGTCTGGTGTACAGATCTGTGGTCTGGAGTCTGGTGTACAGATCTGTGGTCTAGAGTCTGGTGTACAGATCTGTGGTCTGGAGTCTGGTGTACAGATCTGTGGTCTAGAGTCTGGTGTACAGATCTGTGGTCCGGTGTACAGATCAGTGGTCTGGAGTCTGGTGTACAGATCAGTGGTCTAGAGTCTGGTGTACAGATCTGTGGTCTGGAGTCTGGTGTACAGATCTGGAGTCTTGAGTCTGGTGTACAGATCAGTGGCCTGGAGTCCAGTGTACAGATCTGTGGTCTGGAGTCTGGTGTACAGATCTGTGGTCTAGAGTCTGGTGTACAGGCAGCTAATTTTTTCCAAGTAATTAGTTTTACCAGAGCTTCAGAAACAAATCTCAGCAATAAATATTCTGTGATGAAAAGATATCTGAATCTTCATTTATTGTTTGTAGAATTATTTTGTCGGATTGTGAAGCTCGTCTTACAGGAGTTATCTGCAGATACAAGAGTGGTGGCCTTTCAAGTGGGCCCAAAGGATTGAAATGTACATCACAATGACTGACTGTATCAATTGCCTCTTTAATATGTAATTGATATTTAACTGCCCAAATTAATATATTGCAAATGTCATCTCTACAACAGTCATCAAAAAATGATCTTTGAGTGTTTATATGAAATTTATTTCCTGATTTTCAACCGTCAACAGATCGCTAGCAATCACTGTAGTTATTGTGATGGAGACAGAGTAGACCTGATTCATCAGAGTGAAATATACACTCCATCACTGCACCATTCCTGGCTTCCTAGTCTGGTTCTTTGTGTTTGTCTTTAGTCTTACCTGGCATAGTCTGTTCCAGTCTGGGTTAGTCTGTTCCAGTTTGTTTAATAGCCTGCCTCACTATCCCTGAACACATGGTTTTCCATTCCGCATAACCCTCTCCTCAATACAAAAACTCTGGATGAAGAAGCTGTAGATTTTCTGACTCATTAAAATCAATGGCCTTGTGTCCTAGCCAGGTTTAGTCTGTTCTAGCCTCTCCAATTTGTCCTAGTCTGTTCTAGTCTGTCCTAGTATGGTCTAGCCTGTCCTAGTCTGTCTCACTAGTCGGG